ACAGGAGAGCACCAGGTGAACATTCTCATTGACAATGGTGCTACCCACAACTTCATATCCCAAAAGATTGTTGATAGACGGAGAATACCTTTCAACTGTATCAAGGGGTATAAAGTCCAAATAGGGAATGGAGAGAATTCATTCCTAACAGTGTCAGATGTGAGGGAATGAGATTAAGTGTGCAAGAGAATGAAATTCAACAGAATTTCTAAATTTTGGAGTTGGGTGCAACTGATGTGGTGTTGGGGATGGAGTGGTTAACTAGTTTAGGAGATATGGAGGGGTTAACTTTCAGAACCAGACCATTAAATGGAGAGAACAGTGCAGAGTTATATTATCAAGGGTGATACTGCCCTGAATAATATGGAAGTTTCCCTGAAAACTATGACTCACATTTTACAGCAAACAGGAAATAGATATTTGCTGTACTGTGAAGGTCAATAGACTGAACAAAAGCAGAACAAGGCACATGATGAGGTGTGGGATAAAATGGTGAATGAATTTCCTGAGGTCTTCAAATCTACATCGGATCTGCCACCTGTAAGGCCCTGTGATCATGCCATTAATATCACAGAGGGAGCCAGCATACCTAACACTAGGCCTTACAGGTATTCCTATGATCAAAAGATTGAAATTGAGAAAATCATTAAAGAAATGCTCAATTCAGGAGTTATAAAACACAATAACAACCCATATAGCAGTCCAATATTATTGGCTAAGAAGAAAGAGGTGGTTGGAGGTTTTGTGGAGATTATAGAGTCTTGATTAAGATAACAATTCCTTACAAATTCCTTATACCAGTTATTGAAGAACTTTTAGATGAACTAGGGAGTCTAAAATGTTCTCAAAACTGGATTTAAATTCAGGTTACCACTAGATTAGAATGAAAGAAAGTGATGCTCATAAAATTGCTTTCAGGACTCATGAGGGGCACTATGAGTACGTAGTAATGCCTTTTGGGTTGACAAATGCCCCTTTAACCTTCTAAGCATTAATGAATGAAGTCCTGAGATCTTTCTTAAGAAAATTTGCTTTAGTGTTCTTTGATGATATTTTGGTTTATAGTAAATCAAAAGAACATTTAGATCATTAAAGAAAGGTACTGCAAGCCTTGAAGGAGAATAAGTTGGTAGCTAACTGGAAAAAATGCTCCTTTGGCCACATTATTTCTGAACATGGAGTATCTGCAGATCCTAGCAAGAGAGAGGCCATGATCTGACAGGGCTGAGAGGTTTTCTGGGCTTAACAGTTAACAGGTTACTATAGAAGGTTTGTGAAGGGTTACAGCAGGATAGCTCCACCCTTAACACAACTACTGAAGAAGGACATTTTTCACTGGGATATTAATGTTAGCTTGGCTTTTGCGGGATTAAAACAAACTATGACAACTGGTTATCAATCCTAATCAACCCAAATTTTAGTAAGAGCTTCATAGTTGAAACGGATGCTTCTGGAAAAGGGTTAGAAGCTATACTCATGCAAGAAGGCAGGCCCATTGCATTTATGAGTAAAGAACTATCCGTCATGCATCAAACTAAATCTGTGTATGAAAAAGAGCTGATGGCTATAATATTAGCAGTTTAAAGGTGGAGACCTTACTTATTGGTGAGGCCTTACTTAAAGAACTATTCTTTGAGGTCCACACAGATCAAAGAAGCTTAAAATATCTCACTGAGCAGAAACGTTTCTTATTGATGTCACACGTTTCAGCATGTTTATTTTTGAGGAAGCTATCCAGCCCAGCTGGTCGCCAACTCACTCTCCCTTATGGGAGGTCCCGGGTTCAATTCTCAATGGAGTGAGATTGATCCCAGTTTACCCCAAGCCCCCCAAACCCCCTCCCCTGACGCCCCCTGGGGTAAAAAAAATCTCAGTGAGCAGAAAATTATGGGGGAGGAACAAGAGAAGTGGATAACAAAGTTGATGGGCTACAATTTCACTATCAGGTACAAACCAGGTATTGAGAAAAAGGCGGCTGATGCTCTTTCTAGAAGACCTAATCTACTATCCTTATCCATAGTAACCTGCGAGGAGTGGGAATGTTTGGAGGAGGAATTAAAGAAGGATCCTAAGTTTGGAGATATTATCTAGAAGACTCTAACCCCCTCTTGATTACAAGATAAAAGGGGTTTGCTTTACTTCAAAGGAAAACTGGTATTACCTGAAGGATCTAGCAAAATAGCTACAATCCTAAAAGAATACCATGACTTAGCACTTGGAGGACATTCTGGTTATTTTAGAACCATGAAAAGGATCTCAAGCCTATGCTATTTGTCTGGAATGAGATCAGATATCAAGGACTATTTCCATGGTTGTGAAGTTTGTCAGAGGAATAAGTATCAAACTCTAAAAGCTACAGGCATGTTACAACCATTGTCTATTCCTAGCCATATTTGAACTGACATATGTATGGATTTTATAGGTGGGCTACCTAAATCTATGGGTAAAGATACTATTCTGGTGGTTGTAGATAGGTTGACTAAATTTGCAGATTTCCTGCTTCTATCTCACCCTTTTAATGCTAAGTGAGTTGCTGAGCTATTCATTCAAGAAGTGGTGAAGATACATGGATTCCCTAAGTCAATTGTGAGTGACAGGGATAGCCTCTTTCTGAGTTCTTTTTGGTCTGAATTATTTAAATTAGCAGGCAGCCAACTAAAGTACAACACTGCATATCATGCCCTGAGTGATGGGCAGACCGAGGTTGTAACAGATGCTTGGAGACCTACTTGAGATGTATGACTGGCAAGAAACCTAAACAATGGGTGAATTGGTTACCATGGGCAGAATTTTGGTAAAATACCAACTACCACATCCCCTAAAAAAACACCATACCAAGCATTGTTTGGACAAGAGCCTCCTACAATAATCAGAGGGGATGTCAGCTTGACTTCAGTGGCTGAAGTTTCAAGATTAACAACTGAAAGGAATGCGATACTCAAGAAGGTGAAGAAGAACTTGGTTAAGGCTCAGAATCAGATGAAGCAGCAAGCAGAAATACACAGAAGAGAAGTAAAACTTAAAACTGGAGGTGGGTGACAGGGTGTTCTTGAAGATACAACCTTACAAAATGAAGAGCCTAGCAAAGAGGATAAATCAGAAGTTAAGTCCCATGTTCTATGATCCCTATGAGATTATAGAGAAGATAAATCTTGTGGCTTTTACGCTTAAATTACCAGTGGATAGTCAAATACATCCTGTATTTCACATATCCCTATTGAAAAAGGTGCTGACACCTACAACTACCTACCAAGATCTTCCTAAATGTCTTACAGAAGATTTACAGAAGATTACAAAATGAAGAGCCTAGCAAAGAGGATAAATCAGAAGTTAAGTCCCATGTTCTATGATCCCTATGAGATTATAGAGAAGATAAATCTTGTGGCTTTTACGCTTAAATTACCAGTGGATAGTCAAATACATCATGTATTTCACATATCCCTATTGAAAAAGGTGCTGACACGTACAACTACCTACCAAGATCTTCCTAAATGTCTTGCAGAAGATTTACAGAAGATTGCTGGTGATGTCAGTGGAGGTGAAAGATATCAGATTTAATCTTGCTGGGAAAAAGAAGTCCTAGTGCATTGGAAGGACCTTCCCGATTTTGAGGATTCTTGAGAAACGAAGCAAGTGATCAAAGAATAGTTCCCAGAATTCCAACTTGAGGACAAGTTGGGTTTTCAGAGGGGGAGTATTGATAGGGATACAACTGCACTTAAAAAAGAAGATAAATACTTTGGCCGGGTCTATTCTAGAATGGGGAAGTAGAATAGTTAGTTGATAGTTATTTCGGTTATTAGCTATTTACTACTGTTGAAGCATTTGTCCCACACCGGAAAGGTATAAAACAATTAAACACTATATAAGACTTTGGGCTACTCCTCCTATCAGGTTGACCTTTTAGGATGGAACCCCGAGTCTTAACATGGTATCAGAGCCAATTCCGGTTGTGGTTTGACGGCTTGTTTAGCACCCATGATTAATGGTAGCTTGTTAAGGGTTTGTTTGGCCCGTTTATACACCCTAATATTGTTCAGCCCGGTTCGGGCTGAGGGGGCGTGTTGAAGCATTTGTCCCACACCGGAAAGCTATAAAACAATTAAACACTATATAAGGCTTTGGGCTACTCCTATCAGGTTGACCTTTTAGGATGGAACCCCGAGTCTTACCAACTACCTATCTGTTAGAGTGGGGAAGTTATAAATAGAGGAGTCTGGACTGAGTTAGGCAAGCTGTTAGACAGTTAGTCTGGACCGGGAGGATTGAGATTCATTGTCTCTTTCTTTGGGGCTTCGGCTGTACTCACTTTCACCATTAATAAAGCTTAGAAGTCGTTTCTTGAATACTTTTCATCTTTTCTGTAATTTTTTGTATACCTGGAGTTGTTCTATCACTTTTATCAACATCACCAATTATATTCACCAAAAACAAACCTAATTGTCTGTTTTCGTCAACAGTAAATACAAAAGTAGTGTTAAAGTTATTCTTTCTGAAATAGAAGCAAAAGAGAGTTCCGGTTTCATTTTTATACTTCCTCTATTCTTTTTTAGTTGCAACATTTTCATTTTCATTTTTCCTAACACACAACTCTGACCATTTATATACTACATTCCTCATTAGTAAACTAAAGTTCAGATTTTGAAAATTTAAAATAAGAGGAATTTAACAACATTTTTCAAAAATAACTTTCTAATATGTAAATAAAATGTAGTAAAACTGGAAAAGTAGATCATGTGAATAGTGTAAAATTTGACATGTTGCATCTATTTAAGAATAGAGGTAGTATTGTTTTGTTTATTTTATTAAAAACATTTTTGACAATCCAATCCATTTAGCAAACTCCAGCAAATGCAGTTCATTCATCTGCTCCAGTCATTTCAGCCTACCTTTACTATGAGTTTTTCAGAAAAATGAGATTGTATTGTCAAAACTTCTTTGGTAGCACCTGCCCTTATGTCCGTTGGATGTGTTATTTATTTTGTGTGTCACGGTATAAGCCCCCAAGATACAATGATCAAGAGATTGCAGAGCGTGTTGCCTCTCCTGGAATAGCCATTGGGTTAGTGTGGACAGCATTTGGGGGAGAGGTACAGTTTGTTGAGGCTACACATATGGTGGGAAAAGGAGATCTCCATCTTACCGGCCAACTAGGGGGTGTTATTAAAGAATCTGCTCAGATTGCACTTACATGGGTACGTATTTTGTTTGCAAACTTTTACAAATTTTTTTTATCTAAAATTAATTTTGGTCAATTTTCTTTGTAACAAAGTCAGAATCCAGTGGTAATGGATTCATACTATTATTCTTACTTCTTACTTCTTAGTGGCTTGAAAATGAAAAAAATAACACTTGCTTTGTGCAATTCCGTTTCTTTTTCTCCCCCGGGGAGTGGGGGCTATTGATTACATTATGTGATACTTCTACTGCATCTAAAGTTTAAAACTATGTTCATGTCTAATCATTTTAAAAGTGTACAAGTCTAAATCGCACCCAAATGGTCATACAGTGAGAACTTAGATTTACTTCTACCTAGCTAAGAAAGTTTCATTATTTCCATCATTTGCAATGGAGCCAAAGGCTCACTATTTTTTGACTTGAGAATATGATGGAATAAAGCAAAATGACTCACTAAATTGTCTGCACTTCTTTGTTATGAAGAAGCAATCGGTCCATGCAATTTTCGACGCGATTTTCACTATGGGTCATTCGGAAACAGTCTCTCTGTGCTTTAGTACATGGTTAAGACTGTGTACATCCGACCCCCTTGCCCCACCGCCAGGGGCGGATCTGCAAGAGAGGCCAGGGGCACCGCCCCCGCTTTAGCCGCCTGAGGCATCCATATAGGTATATCAAGAAGGGTTAGGGAGGGTCGATCCATTCCATGTCTCCATGTTGTTTTTCGGCAATGAAGAACTAGGAAGGCATAATAGAAGCTTGTTTGAGGGGGATGGTGAGTGGTTGATTGAGGGATAATGAACAATTTGGGGATTGGGGATATTAGAATAGCAGCATGAATTGAAAGGAAGAAGATGACTTTTCATTATCATCACAATAGCCAGTACATGTCTATTTATAGTACAAAAGCTTAACAGGTTTGTATTTAATAGTAGGCATCTCGAACCGACTAACTGAGTCTGTGACAGCGCGATTAGTTCTAGGCTATTAAAATGTGCGTACATATAGTATTCCTAACATTCCCCCTTCAAAATTAGGGTGATTGATTTGGAAGATCAATCACAATAAGTTTGGTTCTGAAGTCAAGAAATGATGAGGCAGACAGAGGCTTTGTTAGAACATTAGCCAGTTGATGGGGAGCTCGAATATGGAACACTTCAAGCTGCTTGGATTGAACCTTTTCTCTGACAAAAAAGAGATCAATTTCCATGTGTTTTATACGAGAATGTAGGATAGGATTATGTGCAAGTTGGACTGTACTCAGATTATCACAGTAAACTTTTGGAATAGTGAATGAAACTTGAAGTTCCCTGAGTAGAGATATTGAACCCATAAGAGTTCAGCTGTTGTGTCTGCTAAGCTTCTGTACTCAGCTTGTGCTGAGTATCTAGCCACTCTTAATGGTTTCTTGGACCACCAAGAAATAATATTTGGACCTAGAAATATACAGGATCCAGAGGTGGATCTTCTATCAACAGGATCTGAGGCTCAATCAGTATTACGGAATGCTGAGATATGCAGAGGTATGGTGGCTAAAGGAAGAGGTTTGGTTATGATACCATGTGTTATAGTGCCACATAGATATCTCAAGATATGTTTGACTGCCTTCCAGTGATCTTGTAAAGGTGTGGCCATGAGTTGACAGACTTTGTTAACTGCATAGCTAATCTCTGGTCAAGTTAGAGTTGCATACTGTAGGACTCCAACTATTAATCTGTAGGTGGAGGGATCAGGTAGACAATCACTTCCTGTATTTGTTACAGTTGTTGATCATGGGTGTTTTGACTCCTTTTGAGTCAAGCATTCCAACTTTATGTAGCAGGTCTCTGACGTATTTGGTTTGAGAAAGGTGTAAACAACCATTTCTTAGTTTTCTAACTTCAATTCCCATAAAGAAATCAATATCACCCAAATGTTTGAGTGAGAAGGATGAGCGCAGCTTATGAATGAGTTGTTGAATAGCAATAGGATTATTACCAATGACTAGAATATCATCCACATAGATTAAGATCTAGATTTGAATCCCAGAAGACAGAAATATGAGTAGAGATGGATCACATTTACTTTGTTTAAATCCAGCTGCATAGAGGACAGAGGTTAGTTTTTGAAACCATGCTCTGGGAGTCTGTTTAAGGTCATACAATGACTTGTGAAGTTTGCAAACAAGGTAAGTATCCTGTACTTGAAAGCCCATATAGACCTCTTCATCAAGATTTCCATTAAGGAGTGCATTATTAACATTAAGTTGTTGTATGGACCAGTTGTGAGGGATTGCTAGGGTAAGTAAAATTCTGATGGTAATAGGCTTGACAACTGGTGAAAAGGTTTCTCCAAAATCAAATCCAAACCTTTGATGAAAGCCTTTAACCACTAATCTGGCTTTGAACTTATTTAGAGAATCATCAGAATTTTCCTTAATTTTGAAAACCCATTTGCAGCCAATAGGTTGTTTGTCAGGTGGTAGAGGAACCAAGGACCATGTTTTATTCGCCATTAAAGCATCATATTCAGTCTGCATAGCTGAGAACCATTGAGGGGATAAAATGGCTTGCTTAATTGACTTTGGCTCAGTATGAGCCAATAGTAAGGTAGGACGTAGTCTAGGTTTGACAATTCCTGACTTTGCCCTAGTTTGCATAGGATGAATGTGATTTAGAGGATGAAGAGGATAAGGATGTTGTTGTAGGGGTAGACTGATTTGAAGACAGAATAGGAGAGACATGAGGTTGAACTGGTGAATCAGAAGAAGTGGAAGAAAGTGAGTTAGATGAATAATTTCTTTCTGAGACAGATGATTGAGGTTCATCAATGTGAGAGAGAGTTGAGTCAATAGGGAGCTGGGATGAGTAAGGATGAAGAACAATCAAAGGGGCAGATGCTGAAGGTTGAAATGTACTAGATTGAGAGGGTGTAGAAGGAAAAAGGACAAAGTAAGGAAATTTGGACCCATGAAATATAACATCTTTGAAAATGTACACTTTGCCAGAGAAAGAGAGACATTTATAGCCTTTGTGTTGAGGTGAATATCCTAGAAAAACACACTCTTCAGAGTGACAGTCCATTTTAAGTTTATTGTAGGGTTTGATAAATGGAAAACATGAGCAACCAAATACTTTAAGAAAGGAGTAATATGGAATAGATCCATACAGTTTGAAGTAGGGAGTGGAGTTAGCAATTGATTTGATAGAAGTTGCAAAAGCAGTATCCCAAAATTTGAAGAGTAAAGAAGAGTGGGCTAAAAGGGACAGACCTTTTTCCACAATGGTCCTATGTTTTGTTTCCACAACACCATTTTGATGGTGTGTGTGAGGGCAGATTATTCTATGTGTAATTCCTTTTTCAGTGAGAAAGTTGGTAAAGGACCTAAACTCACCTCCCCGGTCAGATTGAATGGACTTGATGGACTTTGAAAATTGATTGAGAACATACTGATAGAAGTTTTGAAAAGCTGTGAAGGCATCAGATTTCTTTTTTTAGAAAATAAATCCAAGTGTATCTTGTGCAAGCATCAATGAAAGATATGTAATATGAATAACCATGATAATATGGGTGCAGGGCCCCATAAATCAGTGAAGATTAACTCAAAAGGTGAATGATAAACAGTCTTAGATGATTGTGCTGGTAATCTGTGTGCTTTTCCAAGATAGCAAGCAGAACAAAAAGAAATATCACTATTATTAATTGAAGACACATTACAGTGTTGGAGTACAGACTTAAATGCCTCAAAATGAGGATATCATAGTCTTAGATGTCACATATTACAAGAAAACAGGTACATTACATGATTTAGATGTATTACAGGTAGAAATAAAGGAAATGGGGTACACAGACTTGTTTATTGTAGACCCTATAAGAGTAGTTTGACTGACAATAGCAGATTGATATGACCCAAGAGGAGGAATGGATTGAAACTTGCACAAACCATCTGCACCAAGGACTCCATGTAACATAACTTGTTTAGAAACATGAGATTTGACATAACAGTCATGAGGATAAAATTCAAAGAACACATTGTTAGTTCTAGCAAATTGACTAACACTCAAGAGATTTTTGTTATGGAAGGAACATGCAGAATATTATTCAATGAAAGAGAGTGAGATGTGGGATAGGGTAAGAGAAAGGAAGAAAAACCAATAAACTTTATATCCAAATCTTGACTATTGCCCATAAAGAGCTTGTCAGTTGTAGCAAGAGGTTCACTGTGTTGAAAATTCAGTGGATCAGCTGTAACATGGTGTGTGGCTCCTGGAAACAATTGTTGGTTGGATGGAATGGGGCCAAGGACAGAAGAGTTGGCATTGGCAAAAGCTGCGGAAGGTGAGGGTTTGGGAGAATGATGTTCCCAATTGAAAATATCTGGAGCTTGTGTAGTAGATTGCTGGTTGAAGGATTGGCCAGAAGGAACTGGAGGTGTGTATTGTTGATATGTGGTTTGTTTGGATGTATAGTTAGGTTGATGAGTAAACTGTTGTTGATAATGTGGATATGATGGTTAGGAGTTCCAGATGTAGAAGTGATATAAGTTGTGTTAGGATTAGGATGAGGATTTGGATTAGTGTAAGCAGGATTGTAACGATGGTAGCATATTAAGGCATGATTACCTGGTTTTCCACACACGTGGCAAATTACAGAACTGCGGCCACTAGAACGACCACTCCGACCTCTATTGAAGCCTCCACGACCTCGTCCTCTGTAGGGAGCACTATTATTAGGGTTATGAAATTGCGCAATGTTCACAGAAGAGTTTTCAGAGGAGTTTGCTTCAGAGTTGTTATTTAGAGACAATGTTTCAACTCGAGCAACATTGGCAGAGAAGATAGTTTGTTGAGTTGACTCACATAGCTTTTTCATATGCATCTCTTTGAGCAAAAGTAAAGGTTCAAGTTCAGTTACTGGATCCACAACGCTTCGAGAAGTTACAAAGGATACCAGAGATTCGTATTCCTCTGGAAGTCCTTCGAGAATAACATTGACGTGATCCTTGGTAGATATGGGCTCTCCGATCATCATGAGATTATCGACGATGGTCTGAATTCGAAGAAGGTATTCTGAAATCGATCGTTCTCCTTTTCCAGTGTTGTAGAGTTCCGATTTCAGCTGTCTGGCTTTTGCAACAAAGTTTGATTGAAAATATTTGCGAATCACACTCCAGATCTTGTGCGAGTGTTGACAATGAATTACTCGGGCATGGAAGGATTCAGATAGAGAAGAAAGCAGCCATGAGAATAACATCTGGTCTTGTTGCTTCCAGACGACATACACATTATTTATCGTTTTGTTTTCTTCATCATCACCATTGATAAACTGATCAGGAATCTTTGGTTTTTCAACAAACTTAAACAGTTTGTGGGCACGAATTACTGATTCAATGTGATGTCTCCAGAGAAGGTAGTTGTTCGAATCAAGTTTGATTGGAAGAGGATGTGGAAACACTGCTGGAAATGTAGTATTTCCAGTAGCGGGAGAAGAGGAAGTTGTTGAACTTGAGTTCGTCATGGTAGATCAAGCTAGAGCTCTGAGACCATATTAGAATAACAACAGGAATTGAAAGAAAGAAGATGCTTTCTCATTATCATCACAATAGTCAGTACATGTCTATTTATAGTACAGAAGCTTAACAAATTTGTAACTAATAGTAGGCAGCTCTAACCGACTAACTGTGACAGCTAGATTAGTTCTAGGCTATTACAATGTGCGTACATATAGTATTCCTAACAGGGCATTGCTGTCGTGGTGGGGGAAGACTGTGATTTGCCCCTGGGATTTATCAATAACATTACCAATATTTTATTATTTACATCCTTTATTCTTTTAGTACGCAGTTCTTTCTCATTGTTAATGTGCTAGAAGAGATGGGCCAAGGGAGATATTATTGTATATTTTATTGATTTTATATATTTTAGGGAAAAGTACGGAAAAAGTACTTGTGGTTGGACCCGTTTTCAGAGAGGGTCATGTGTTTCATTCTTTATCAAAGTGGTTCATGTGTTTGAATTCCGTTATCACAAGAGGGTCACGCCGTTAAATTTTTCGGACACTTAAAAATCGGGGTTACTTTTAACGGTCTTTTTCAACGGCGTGACCCTCTTGTGATAACGGAATTCAAACACATGAACCACTTTAATAAAGAATGAAACACATGATCCTATCTGAAAACGGGCCCAACCACAAGTACCTTTTCCGTAATTTTCCCTATATTTTATTGTTTATATTTTTTTCAGCATATCATTTAATCTTTTAGTTTAAATTTGGATCTTTTACACTCACACCACCGGGACTCCCGGAGAAAGTTCGCCGGAGTTTGCACTTTTCACCGCTTATTGTCGAACTTGTCGACAGTAATCCCTCTACCGTCGTGTTCCCCCTTAAATTTATTTCTAGTTCCGCCACTGCCCACCGTAGGTGGGCAGTAATCTCAAAAGTTGTAGAACTTTGATGAACTTCCGCCATGATGATGATGAGCTAAGAAAGTTTCATTGAACGGAAAGAAAGAGCTCAATAAAGCCGTAATCTGAAAGGTTGTAGAACTTATTAATTCCTCTAAAAAAGAGCCTAGTTTGTTCAAATATAACTTTTAATTTTGGAAAGGCACAACTCTTAAAAGTCATGAAATCCACTTACATTTTTAGAATTTATTTCTTGTCTAAATTAAACTTATCATATTTAACTTGCTTGTAACTTTTATTTGCAAATTAGATTACAAATCTGCTTCTTTTTCTTTTTGGGAGAAAATGCTTTTCAAACCAGATCCTTTTTATGGGGTGGAGTACTTTTATTTTTTGAGTATACATATACCAATAAATTTGTTTCTCGGTTCACCATAGGTATGCTCTAGAGCAACAGAACTCATGCTGTCAACCTGTGAAGAAAAAAGTGTACTGGAGGGCCATGATATTCATATTCATTTTCCTGCTGGGGCTGTACCTAAGGACGGACCATCCGCTGGGGTAACTCTGGTTACCTCTCTTGTTTCAATGTTCAGTCAAAGGAAAGTTAGATCTGATACAGCAATGACAGGAGAGATGACTCTGAGGGGACTAGTGTTACCTGTTGGTGGTATCAAAGATAAGGTTTGGACTTTGTGTCCTTTTTCTTAATATTTTATTGCTATTATCCTTTGTTTTAATATCACCAAGTTAAGTATGGTTTGGAATTCTTAGTTTTGATAACCGGGCTGGATTGGCCTGTTGAGCTGGGAATCAGTTCACTACTTAACTTATCCCAAAGATCAATTGCCATCCTATTACAGGCGAAAAAGTATGGCTTTAGCTAAATAAAGGCTAAACTATAGTCACAATATTTCTTATACAATGTTGTTTGTATGTTTTTACATTTTTATCTTATATTATATGGCCTTCTTTTTAAAATATGGCCATTTTTTGTTAATTCATAATCTATTTTATCCTATTTTATTACTACTTCATACTACATCCGTCCTGGTTAAAGGTTGTCATTGTAAAATGATACAATTATTTAGAAAATAATTAAATAAGATAATTTGAGTATATAATATAATTGGGTCATTGATGATAACTGTGGTGTTAAAAATGTATTTTTTTTTAATATTTGATGACTAAAATGTCATTTAAGAGTGTTAATTGTTTCCTAAAAAACAAATAGGAACCTTAAGCTGGGACGTTTAAAAAAAGAAAGTGAGAACCTTAGGTTGGGACAGAGGGGGTAATAATTTAACTGCATGTGCACACAAATCAGTTGGACCACAAGTGAACCAGGCTTTCACCAATTCAATGACCAGTCTGGTCTTGACAACATTGATTTGGATCCAATTTGATTAGTAATGTGCTATTTTCATATATCTCATGCCCTATAGGTTTTGGCGGCCCATCGTTATGGCATCAAAAGAGTAATTCTACCGGAGAAGAACTTGAAAGATTTGGTTGAAGTCCCAACAACCGTGCTCTCCAGTCTGGAGGTAACAAAAAATTTCTGCAAGTTATACACCATATAGTTCAACAGTTCCTGTCTCCTACCCGAGTTGGGTAGTCACATGACTCACATCCTACCAAATTAAGCGTCAGATGGTCAATTGTTGGGTACACCCGACCCTTAGCGATCAGTGGATAGGTAGTTGTGTTAGGTGTTTGGTAAGATTAGCAGTTTACTCTTGATTTTTGATTTTTGAAAATATCAGATTGTGTATCTGGTTGGGAAAACTGTCAAATAGATCCTCGTAGTATATAAAAAAGTCAATTAAGCTCTCAAACTAAACAAACACCCAAATAAGCCCACCAACTTTAAAAGAACTGTCAAATTTAGAATTTTACACGTGATGATCCGGTTACCCGGTCATACGGCTGATGTGGCGATCCATGTATTTTTTAAAAAAAAATCTTTATCCTTTTCTTTTCCTTCTTTTTCCTTCCGCCCCATCTCCTTTCTTCTTCTTCTTCGTTCGTTCTCCCCGCCCTCCTGGACGAACCTTTTCTTTTTTTTTCTTGGATTTTTCTAACTTTCTCTCCTGTCTCCACACTTCTTCCCACTCGTACTGTTGCTCCCTTTTATTTCTTGTACCCCGTTGACCATTGTGCTTCATAATTTTCATTCTTCTTCAAAAAATCTTTATCCTTTTCTTTTCCTTCTTTTTCCTTCCGCCCCATCTCCTTTCTTCTTCTTCTTCTTCTTCTTCTTCTTCTTCTTCTTCTTCTTCTTCTTCGTTCGTTCTCCCCGCCCTCCTGGACGAACCTTTTCTTTTTTTTTTCTTGGATTTTTCTAACTTTCTCTCCTGTCTCCACACTTCTTCCCACTCGTACTGTTGCTCCCTTTTATTTCTTGTACCCCGTTGACCATTGTGCTTCATAATTTTCATTCTTCTTCAAATGGCGAACTCCGGCTAAGACTTGAAGAGGCGGTTTGGGCAGAGGATATCTTCACCTTCCTGCTGAGTCGTCATTGGTGCCGGTCTTCGTCAGCAACAATGAGGATTCTGAAGGCAAGGACAAGCTCAAAATTCCGGTGTACGTCTTCTACACCTCTAGCGACATTGTTTGCTTGGTTGACAAGCTTGGAATTCCAGTGTACATCATCTACACCTCCACCAAGGATGGCGTCTTGGCCGACGAGCTTGAAATTCCGGCGAATGTCTCCTACTCCTCTGGTGCCACCGTGCTGCCATCCTTGACCGACACGCTCAAAATTCCGGCATTCGTGTTCTACACCTCCGGTGCACCGAGCTCGTGCTTGGCGGGCGTATTTTCAGACTCAGAGAAAGGAAGGAAGAAGAGAAGGAAGGAAGAAGAGAAGGAAGGAAGAAAAGAAAAGAAAAAAATATTAAAAATAGGTGGATCACCACGTCATCCATATAACTGGATAACCGGACCTTCACCTGCTAAATTCTAAATTTGATCGTTTTTCTAAAGTTGGTGGACTTAATTGAGTGTTTTTTTAGTTCGAGGGTTTAATTGACTTTATTGATAGATACGAGGGGTTATTTGAAAGTTTTCCCTATCTGGTTTGGACATAAAAAAGGAACCAAAGGATAAGACTCCCGTGACAAACAAATCTCATATTTCACTTTTTGTTCCCAAAGAAGCTAAATCTTGTGAAGCGGGCTAAAAAGTGCAATATGATAAGTTTAGTTTTATCCCCATAGAAGTGAAAATATAAATAGGATCCCTGCCACTTTTATGTTTTAATTGTGTACCTCAACTATGCTATAAGAACCGGACCAGACCGGGTGGGTCAGCTCGGAACCTGGTGAATTGTGAATTAATCCGGTACGACAGTTCTCAAAACCGTCAATATAGTCAAAAACGGAAATAACAGATACACCGGCCGGGAGTGATCAAATCCGGATAGCCCGGCAAAATGGGCCTGTATGTTGAAATTATGCCAAGTATGGAGATCAAACCCAGCACCTCGTGCATTGCATAGCAACCACGGCACCACCCTACTTCTCAAAATTGATTTTTTCAGAGATGATTGAAAACGTGATTTATAGTAAAAACATTTAGTGTTTGGAAATAGAAGTGATTTTAATTAAAATGTAAAAGTTGAAGTGTTTGATAAAAAGTGATTTTTTGTGTAATGTACTGTCAAACTACAAAAATACCCTTATTTAAATTTCAAGCATCAGTCCAAAAATGGCGTAGGGACTTCGTTTCAGACCCCAACTGGGAGACTCGTTTCTGTGAGTGCGGTATTGGGCGGCGGATGGTGATTCGACCCCCAACGACAGGTTTTGTGATTACGCCATTAAATCCTTTGTTGGAAGAGCGTAGTGAAATGTTCTCGCCTTCTTGGACAGATTTTGCTTGTTGGGGGTTATTGGAGGAGGACAGAAGTCTACTGTTGCGGCGGGGAGCCGACGGTGGAAGAGCTCGTTTCTCTGGTCTTTGCTAATTTCTTGTTCCACGCTAGACTTCTTCTTCTTCTTCTTTTCTTCCCTACCTCCTTGATTTGTCAACAGATGCTTGGTTAGATCCCCAGCCCTTTAGCCACTATCTGGATGGAGAAATCTGATGGGGGAGATGGAGAGCCAGGTGAAGAAAGATGGATCGGGGGAGATTGTTTTGTCAGGAGGAGTAATTTAGGATATCAGCAATAACTTTAGGGATAATATTTGTCCGCAATCTTTGAAATATTTACCAAATAACCTAAATCAAGTAAAAGCATCCCTAAGGCTGCTTCCCACTTTTGACTTAAAGTTGTTTAAAATAAATAGATTTTTTCATTTGCAAACAACCATTTTAGCTTATTTCAGAAAGAAAAAAGTCAAAAGTGCTTTTGAGTAGTGCTTGCAAACACTGCCTAAATATCATTGCATCTTAATTTATTAACAACATTCAAGTCTTATTACCAAAAAATGTTGGGTTGACTAACATGGATTGATACATGATATCGGAGTCAAGAAAAAAAGATAAAGAAAATGTATGATAAAAAAGATAAAAAAGAAAAGAAAAAATAGAGATGAGATATACATAAAAGTGATAATATAAAAAGGATTAGAAGAGTAAATATATATAAAATAAAAAGGATAAAAGGATAAAAAACATAAGAAAGATAAAGAAGATAAAGTGAAAAAAGATCAAGAGATCGATCCATATTTAATAATAATAATATAAAAACTAATTATACATGCTATTGTTATTATATACTGACCAAATATGTATAAAATATTCCAAATATACGTGAAAAACATATTTATAATTTTATACAATATTGTTAAGATTTTGTAATGAATTTCAAGTTTATTTTTTGTTCCTTTAATTTCAAATACATTCATGGTTTAATTAAAAATTGTGTACTAGATGATTTTACTCTTTTAAATTAGGAAGGAAAATATTTTTAATTTTACAAATTGAACTATATATTTTACTCCCTCCGTCCCAAAAAGATTGGCCAAATTGACTTTTCTTGGTCAAAACGGTTATCAACTTTGACCAATGATATCTTTTAATACAAAATTATTTGAAATATAAAAATTATGAGCTTATTCTTTATTAAAAAATCTTTCATAAAAGTATAAAATTTATAAATTACACATAAATATAATACCTAAAATCATTGTCTAAATTTTAACACCATTGACCAAGAATAGTCAAATTGGTCAATCTTTTTGGGACGGAGGTAGTACAAATTTAACCATGTGTATAATACTTTCTCCGTCTCTCAAAACTTGATCAAGTTTGATCGGTACGAGAATTAATAAAGTAAAACTAGTGTGATTAAAGTTTGTGCAGAGGAGAGAGAATTAACTGGAATCACTAATTGTTTGCTTAAAAGGAAAAGTGACAAATTAGTGGAACAACTTAAAAACAAAACTTGGCAAAGTTTTAACTTTTAAGGGACGAAGGAAGTATACATACATACATACATACATACATACATACATACATACATACATACATAGGGAACTCTTCCGATAAGGTATACCTTACCGGAGCCGCCGTGCGGCCTCCACGTTTTGAGGGCCTTCCCGGTGGAATTTTTCGATGAAATTTTTTGAGCAAGTTCTTCATCAAGTCTAGTACATCCATATCAAATTTCAGGAAAAAAATTCAATTGGGAAGACAGTCAAATGATTTTTGGAAGATAACTGCACCCTTTATATACATATAAAACGCAGTTATCTTCCAAAAATCGTTTGACTGCCTTCCCGATTGAATTTGTTGCTGAAATTTGGTATGGATGTGCTAGACTTGATGAAGAACATGCTCAAAAAATTTCATCGAAAAATTCCACCGGGAAGGCCCTAAAAACGTGGAGGCCGCACGGCGGCTCCGGTAAGGTATACCTTACCGAAAGATTTTCCTATATATATATATATTGTGTTGACCGGGTTGACCATTGACCCAGTCCAGATCGCCTCCCGGCCCGGTTTTTACTACATAACACCTTAGATAAATTTATAAAAATATACAAAAACATCCAAGCTTTATTCCAAAAAGATTTTGGTGTCGACTAACATGAATCAATCTAAGATATCAGAAGCAAAAGGAAAAAAAGATAAGGTAAGATAGAAACAATAAGAAAAAGATAAGTATAAATATAAGATAAGCAACATAAAAGAAAGATAAAAAGTAAAAACGACATAAGAACATAAAAAATAAAGAGGATAAAGGAGGGAAAAGACCTTGAGACGAATATGAGCACTCCACTTTGCTCTCTCCAAATCTATAAATTTACAAAAATAATCATTTTGTGGGTTGTGTGACGGAAGGAGTTATACAAAAGCCAAACAAGAATCTTACTACCTCCGTCCCAAAAAACTTTGTCATTTCCAAAACGTTGACCAACTATATATTTTTATTGGGAATTACTTATAATATAAAAATTATATGATTTCCACAATATTATATTAATCAAAATCATGGTTCAAATTTTATGAAATGACAAACTTTTTTGGGATGAAAGTAGTGATAAATATGATAGAGAGCTTGTTGTCGGCTACGTAACAACTAACAAGAGTACAAGACTAGTTATTATAATGAAACTGAAAGAATGGGTCAAGTATTACTACTAGATGTTTTTAGTTAACAAAAATATGACCGATTTCTATGTATTTGGATCCTCTGCCGCACGGCAGAGGTACCTTGCGCAATCGAACGGGCAAGAGCAATAAGGCAGGAGAGTTTGGGAAGAGGAAATGTAGATCGTGCAGCTGTAATCAGGGGTGCCTGGCTGCGATTAAAAAGTGATTTCTACGAGGACAAAAAAGTGATTAAAAATGATTTAAAAAGTTCCTATCCCTGTTGAGCCGCCCGTCCAAGTAGCTTTTCCTAGGGCGCTGCTTCTCTCACCTTCAAGCTCGACCTATGCCGCATCCCTCAGCTGCACCGCCGACCTCTTGCTGCCGCTCTCAGGGATGTAGATGAGAGTTGTCACGGGCATAGAGTCTGGCGCAGCGCACAGCGCCCGTGCGGCGTCCCGGGGTCCCTCTCATCCCCGCGGACAAGCCTCGCTCTCATACGGGACCGGACTGGTTTCGCCCTGCCTTGGGCTCATCAGGGGAACGGCAATAGCTCCCGACCAGTTGTGCCTTCATGTCCGCCTCCGTCTCCTTCATAGTCAAGCCCTACATGCCTGACTCGGCCAGACCTTAGCGTCTAAGGCAGAACTCCCCTTGACGCTATTGCCTCCCCCATGCCTCGCCCGTCCAGCTAGCCAGTCGGTCCGTCCCATTCATTGAGCCTAACACGGTCACGAACAACGGTCCATGACAGAGTCCAACGGCATCGCCGCCATCAATGTCCTTCATGCTTGACGCCATAAGCCTCCACCGACCAACCTATTCCCGACCTCTGACGCCACTTGTAACCCCATATCCATCACAACCAAGCTATAGTGTCAGATTCGAATGTTAGGGTTCAATTCGAGTGTGGCAGCAGCATTTCGTCTGTGATTTTAAGGCAACGGCACAGTGGTTGTTGGCTGGTGGCTAGGGTTATGACGTTGTTGGTGGGCCGGAGGTAGGGGGCTAGGGTTGGGGATAGACGAATGGGGGCTAAGATGAGTTGTAAAGGGGCTGGGCGGTGCTAGTGCAGGCAAGCTGTGGCTGGGTTGGGGGCAGTAGGCGGTCTCATCCTTAGGGGTGACGACGACGGTGGGACGGCGTTTTGATTGGGCGGAAATTGTGGAGAATGTATATTATTTCACCGAAAAAGGTCGCCGGAATTTTCAGTGACACGGTGGCTCAGTTTCCTGATACTGACATCCCTAAGTGATGAAAATCTGACAGTGATAGTTTTAGTGACATGAAAAAATTAAGTGACATAAAAATCTCACAATGACATCATTTAAAATGTGTCGGTGTAGGATGTTTGTAACAACCATCAGTCCATCAAAGACCTAAAATTCCATCAAGTTTTGATTTATTTAATAAACATAAATAATATATAAACATTTTAAAATTTAAAAATAATAAAACTTATCACAATTTAGGACTTAGTTTGATAGTTTTGAATCATTTATGAACACATTCTATCTTTTAGGTCCCGGATTGATAGTGGATCGATCTGGATTAGATTCCATGTTTTAGTTAATGGACATATGTCACTATTCCATGTTTCAATTAATGGACATATGTCACTGTTACAGATAGTAGCCGCCAAGAGGATGGAAGATGTTCTGGAACATGCCTTCGAAGGTGGTCTCCCTGGGAGGCAGCACTCAAGATTATAATGACAAACGGACTTGTACAGTAAGTAACAACTGGTTTCGAGCCTGCTGCCGCAAATCTTTTTAATTATGGGTTTGTAAAAAAGGTTCATTGCTGATTTCTCTCTATAGGGAAGTTGCTTTATTCCGTGACATCCCACAAACACATACCAGTGGCTCCCTTGATCAATGTTGAAATATTTACTCTTATGCACCAACGTATTAACTCTCAAACTCAGCTCAATAGCTTGCGAATCAAACCACAATAGCTTTATACCATATACTTATGCTTCAACACACAATTAACTTGTGCCGTTAGTGATGTCGTATAGCAGGCCATTTGTGAAAAAAATTATAGAGCCGTTTTTTAAGACCCGTTTTTTTCTACATTATTTGTAGTAATACTCTACATTTTTATAATTCCTACATATTTTTATGTTTTAATTTTACAGTAATCATTAATTCGTTTTTTTACAACTCATTAATTCGTTTTATAACAATTTGAATCATTGAAAGAAAATAAATGGTCTGGCCTAGCATTAGTCTTGGGTTTTTCACCTGGCAAAGCCATTGCGCTGTTTCTTGTCCGACATATGGTTTGTGGCGATGGTGAGATGGCGTCCATTTCCACGGTCTGCTTCTCTTTGGTCTACACTTCTGGATTGAATATGGAGGTATGTGATTTGTACGGTATTTGTGCCTAGGCATGAACGGGTTCCTGGTCGGTCCAAACTGGGCTTTTTGTTTGTGGGTAAAGGCCCGGAACCGGCTCGGGATTCCACCGGGCTGGGCTCGGGTTATATTTTTATTAGCTTTTCTAATTAATTCCAACCCCCCCCCCCAAAAAAAAACACCCAGCCCAACCCGCCTACAACCAAAAAATTTGAAAAAACAAAAAACAAATTTTTTGGGCCTGGGCCGGGCCGGTACCAAAGGAGGTGCAGCTTGGAACCGCCCCCAACAACCCCCCGGGCCGGTCCTAGGCCCGGAACCGGTTAACCGGGGCTAAAAAAATTCTATAAATACCTAATCATTTTATTCATTTTTTCCTACAATTCTACTTCTACTTGGGCCTGTTTGTACGGATGGACCGGGCCCAGTCCGGGTTGGGTCTGGGCGGGCTTGGAGTTTTTATGTTGGAGCCCGGAACCGGCCCAGGATACTACCGGGTCCGGTCCAGTCCTCTACCTGCCCGGGTATCACTGTATCAGGTACGGTCCGGTCCATTATTTTTTTTATTTTCTTGTTTACTACTACCTCTGTCCCCCTAAGTTTGGGACAAGAGAAGGTAGCACGGTTATTAATAAAAGTGGGTTTATGTGGTTGATATTGAATTGATAAAGTAAGAATAAAGTAGGAATGATTTAGAACCACACAAACTTTACCAAATAAGGTATGGGACAATCTTAGTGGGACGGACCGATATGATAAAATGGGACAATCATAGCGGGACGGAGTGAGTAATTAATTCTAGAAGTGCTACATATAAAAAATTTAAAGTATATTTATTTGAAAACATGAAATACATTTTCTAATAAATAATAATTAATCGGAATCTCTGCTACCCTCGGTTGTTGTTTCCTCCACAAAGTGGCAGGTGGGGGCGATGCTAAGTTCTTCTACGTTGGGCCTTCAACCAATCGTGGAAGCAAACAAGCGTCTCAAAAGATTTTGCGCTCAATCTCGTTCTATAATCCGTTAGCACATTGTCGGCCGCACTAAATTCGTGTTCTACGGCAACTGTTGATAATGGCATTGCTAGCACTTTTTTAGCCATCTTTGATAAAACCGGGAACGTTCTTTCTTTTTCCTTCCACCACTTTAGAACATCAAAGTCATCCCTTCATCATACTCAACAGGAAATGTTAGATACATAGAAAGCTCGTTAATCGAGCTTTGTTCAACAACGGGAGTTGATTTACTTTTTTTTTCATAAGATTGCCAAATGTAGATTTCAAAAATGATTTTCCTTTAGATTTCAAAGATGTTAAACCATCTTCTTTAGTTTCATCAAACTTGTTGCTGCATAATGCTTCCGGAACACTAGCTTTTGGGGTTTAATGCACCAAACCCCCCTGTGATTTGGAAATTCGGCGCATTAGGCCCTTGTGATTTAAAAAATGCATCAAACCCCCCTGTGTTTTAATTAATCATGCGCCAAATCCCTTATGTGAACAAATTCAATTGTCAAATAAAAGAAAAATGATTAACATTTTTGTATGATTCAGAGATTTTGACATATTTATTTGCATATTTAATCAAAATATTAGGAAAAGTGGTTTTCAAATCGTTAAATTTATTCATAAAGGGGGTTTTGTGCATGATTAATTAAAACACAAGGGGGTTTGACGCATTTTTTAAATCACACGGGGCTGATGTGCTGAATTTCCAAATCACGGGGGGGTTTGATGCATTAAACCCCTAGCTTTTGATATAAAAAAAAATACCACCACTGCAGACATTATCCACACCAGAAAGAGATTTATATCTCTGGCAAAGGTCTAAGCAGCAATTGATACAATGGCAGAACTTTTTTCGAGGGGTGCCGAAAAATGCACTACATATTAAACTTCAAAACTAATAAATTGATAATAAATAGGTTTGATTATCTAAATTGAAATTTTTAAAGAAAAACAACAGTAGCTTATTGTATTCCTTCCGTAGAAGTGAATCTGTTCCGCCGGCAGACTCAAAAACCTTGAAAGCTCGAGGGGAGCCGGCATAAATAGGACATATATTTACCATAAGTACTCTGGCGAAAGGGGGCACTGGTTCACCCACCCCTGAGTTATTGATAAGAACAGGTTGAGAGAATGGAAATCGTACAATTACCGTTGCTACATATTCAATTTAGTGGACAACAATGGAAACGTATTAAGAGCATTACTCATTCACTCATCAACAATACTTTCTACTAATTATATCAAGGAAAATTGCAAAACCAATTGTGAATGGGGTATTGAACAATACAAGTGATGGATAGTCTACCCGGGGTATCTTATCCGAGGGGTTATTGCGGGAATAATTAGAGAGAAGTCGGAGCAAATAGGAGGAGAGAGAGTCGATTGTATTAAATGAACTCGAGATGCGTTACAAGGAGAAATGGGCTGCTATTTATAGCAGCAATAAATGCGACGAGAGCACACGTGTCAGTAATCCAACGGCCGAGGGGTTACATCAATCGGGGTGGCACTGGTAGTGGCATGTTCACCACATTGAATGCGGTGAGTGGATGTGACGTCGCATTAAATGCGGTGGTTGACTGTCTCCAAAGGGAATCTTTGATGATTGAGTCTGTTTAGCCGAAGGCTCTTCATGCAGCTGAGGGCTTCATGCAGCCGAGGGCTCTGTGTAGCCGAAGGCTTGGTCCAGCCGAAGGCTTCTCTGATGCCGAGGGCTCAACAGTGTCGAATGCTCCTGTTTTCTCCCGTTTTCTCCCAGTAGCCTCGTGTGCCCAAAAAAGGCTATCCTGTGAGTTTTGGGGCCTTCGGCCAAGGAGGCCGAAGGCACCCCCGGTATGTATTTTGGGCTTACTTGAACTTGGGGCACTGTATTTGGGCCTCGGATGTTTCATGGGCTTAATGGGCCTGTGTAAGAGAAGCAGGAGTCTATGGGCCGGGAGTTCCTGGGCCATATACTCCATCAACAAGATTTGATTGAGATTTTAAGAATTTAAGAATAAATTTGTATTGAATTTAGACGAATGAAACTAATAGGGGAACATCTTGTGGATCCAAAGTGTAATAGATTAATGAGACTCGACCGGGTGACTTTCTTATTCTTAAGATAAGACTATAAGAGTAATGGAAAGCGAAAGTATTGTAGAATCTAATTGATAATAAGTACAAAGTGTAGGAATATTTACCTCTCTTTCGCAGCCTTGAATAGCACATCGATTTCTTTGGGCCGATTATAGCACATTGAATGAGATTACTTTGTATTTAACATATGAAGTTGATTTTGAAGAAAATGATGACTTGACGTTCTAAACTGGTGGAAGTCAAAAGAAAGAACGTTCCCGATTTTAGCACGGATGGCTAAGCAAGTACTATGAATGTCGATTTCAACATTTGTTGTGGAACAAGAATTTAGTTCGGCCGGCAACGTCCTAACGGCATCTAGAACGAGATTAAGCGCGGAGTCTCTTGAGACGCTTATATGCTACCACGATTGGTTGAAGCCCGCACGTAGAACTCAAGAAATGAGCATCACCCTCGCACAAGAATTCATGGATGACTCAACAACCGATGGTAGCTCTATCTATGCCAGAGATTCTGATTGATTAGTATTTTAGAATTTATTATAAAATGTATTTTGTAGCACTTCTCAAATTAATTTGTACTTGTACTTCATATTTCAAAATTGTAAACTTGTACTTCATATTTCAAAGTTGTAAATTTGTACATGTACTTCAAATTAATTTGTAAACTTGTACTTCATATTTCAAATAAATATGCTTTCAGTTTTTCATATGTAGCACTTCTCAAATTAATTAATTGGTTACAAACTTACAACTTCAAATTATTTTTCTAAAGGCTGTTTTTAAATTAAAAATAGATTTACAATATGTAATTTGTTTAAATACTTATACACCTATTTTGTAACATTTGTAAATTATAAATCAAACCACTTTTCTAAGTAAAAAAAGCTTTACTTAATTAATTAAATTAATTAACTTATTTTACAATATGTATAATTTTCAAATAAAAAATATTGAAAAAAATTTTAAAAACAAAAAAACAGCTCCCAAACGGCTATATAGCCATTGGGGCTTTGGGTGGGGGGCAGGGGGTTCCCGGGGTTGGTGGTGTGGGAGTGGGGTTAAAAATCTATAAATACATCTATTTTCTAACATTTTTCTACATCTCTTCTCTATCTTCATCTTCTCTTATTATCCTGCATTCTTACTTAAACACCTACCATTTTAAAGATGGAAAGTAAATCTTCCCTTATGCAAAACAATTTTGATAAGTGGAAGGACCCGAAGACCGGACTGTGGTGGGCAACTTGCAAGTGGTGCAAAAAAGAGTGTAGCTTGGAACGTTCACACGGATACAGGATGCAATAAAACATATGCCACTTGCAATTTGCAAGTGGTGCAAGAAAGAGTGTAGTTTGGAACGTTCACACGGATACGAGATGCCAATAAAACATATGAAGTCCTGTAACAAAGGGAAAACAACAACCAATGGTGGCGAAAATCCCAATTGATATTTATTAGAAAATGTATTTCATATTGTTAATTTTTTCTCAATTCTCAAATGTAGTTCCTATTTCAAATAAATGCACTTGAACTTTGTTTTTAATAAGAATTTGTATAATCTATAATAATTAAATATAAAAAAAATATGACCCGGCCCGGCGGGCGGCCCGACCCGTGACCCGGGCGGGTGACCCAGCCCGACCCGGCACCGGCCATAGCCCGGGCCGGTCCCGGGCCGGTCCCGGG